AGTATTCATGATTTCAGTCGATACACACCACAAAGAGAAATTCACATCCCTCACTCTGAGTGATTAACAATCAGAACACAATTTTAGTTCATGTAGAAACACACTTTAAGAGGTCAAATAGGTCTCCAAGGCTAATATTAAGCCACAACAATCAGCATTCTGCTGTTATGCTAGTCACCTGAACACTCTCACAGGTGTAACAGATCCCTCCAAGGCTAATATTAGCCACAAACATCAGTCAACTACTGTTGTACCAGTCAGCCAAATCAGGTCACTCATGACCTACAAAATTTCTCACAAGAAACTTGGTTTCTAGATCATCCGACCTACAAAGAAGGGGTTAAACCCACCTTATATCATTCGGTTGGGGCAAACCTTAACTTATTCTTGGTATCTACACCAAGAACCAAAAAAAAATGGTTCAAAAAAGGTCTCCCTGTTCAATCCGAGAGAATTCTGGGTTTACCAGTCCAAGACAAAGAAAGAAAAAACAACAAAAAAGAACAGTCGACCTCTTAGGAAGAATCAACCAATCATCAACAATTTCTGGAATCACTTAAGTTTATTTTCAGCCCAGAACAGATGAGAGAAAAAAAAAAGACGAACAGTTTTCAGGTCCAGAATGAGTTTGTTTCCTTCATTCTCAGTCCAGAAAGAACAAAGCAATCCTTCAACCGATGCAGTGAGGAAATTTACAGAGCACCGACCCGCTCTGATACCATGTTTTCAGCAAGGAAGGAGAAGAAGAAGAAGAAGAAGAAGAAGAAGAAAGAGGCAAAAAGCATGAGAACCAAAAAAAGTTTTTGCTGGCGGCGCCAACTTTTGATTTAAATAGTAGGATGACCAAAACATAATAAAAGAAAGGTAAAAGACAAGAATGCCCCTCAATGGCATATAGTACTGATTACATCACCTATGACCACATTTCCCCCTCTCACTGTGCCTGCCTATCTGCAGTTGATAACATCCCCATACACAGAAATGTGGAAGAGGCTTTAAAATATCCTGAATGGACAGATGCTATGAAGGAGGAGATTAATGCCCTCCATAAGAATCAAACATGGAAGTTGGTGGATCTTCCAAAAGGGAAAGACCTAATGGAGTTTAAGTGGGTGTTTGCAGTGAAACACAAGGCAGACGGGATAGTTGAAAGGTACAAAGTAAGGCTAGTAGTTAAAGGATACACTCAAGTCTATGGTGTTGACTATGATGAGACGTTTGCTCCAATAGCTAAGGTGAACTCAATTCGAGTTCTTTTATCATCAGTTGCAAATCTTGACTGGGAATTGCATCAACTAGATATATAGAATGCTTCTTTAAATGGTGATCTGGAAGGGGAGGTGTACATGGTTCAACCCCTAGGTTTCTATGCCAAATGAAGTAAAAATAAGGTGTGCAAGCTAAGAAAGTCCCTCTATGGCTTAAAACAATCTCCTAGAGCATGGTTTAGTAAATTTCATATGGCGGTTCAGCAAGTAGGGTTCAAACAATGTCAATCTGATCACACTCTCTTTGTGAAGAGATGTCAGGAACAAGTGGTTATGTCGATAGTGTACGTGGATGATGTCATCATTATAGGAAACCGGAGCACAGAAATACAAAAGTTGAAGGAATTCCTTGCCTCTCAATTTGAAGTGAAAGATTTGAGTCCCCTATAGTACTTTCTAGGAATTGAAGTTGCCCACTCAAAAAGGGGCATCTTCATTTCTCAGAGGAAGTATATCCTAGACCTGTTACAGGACACAAGCAAGTTAGGTGTAAAACCAATTGATACCCCTATGGATGTTGATCATAAACTAGGAGATTGTGATGGTGAACCACTGGATGATGTGAAACAGTTTCAAAGGTTAGTGGGAAGGTTGCTTTATTTGCCCATGACACGTTCAGACATTGCTTATTCAATTTGGGTCCTAAGTCAATTCATGCATTCCCCTAAGAGACCACACATGGAGGCAGCAGAGAGGATTCTTAGGTATTTGAAGAAGTATCCAGGAACAGGGTTGCTATTCAGCAAACATATTCATCTGAGAGTGGAAATCTACACAGATGTTGACTGGGTAGGTGTTGTGAATGATAGAAAGTTCACAAGTGGGTACTGTACTTTTGTAGGAGGAAATCTAGTGGTGGAGAAGTAAGAAACAAAGTGTAGTTGCAAGGTCAAGTGTCATAGCGGAGTATAGGGCTATGGCACAAGGGGTAGCTAAAGTTCTTTGGCTGAATAACCTTTTAGGGGAACATAGGGTTACTGTTCACAATTCTATGTCCCTCCATTGTGACAATAAGGCATCTATCAACATTTCTAGCAATCCTATCCTACATGATAGAACCAAGCACATTGAAGTGGACAAGGACTTCATAAGAGAAAAATTCAAAAAGGGAGAAATTTGTACTCCTTATGTCAAATCCAAGGAGCAACTTGTTGATGTTCTCACAAAAGGGCTTCCATACTTGCGGCACAATGAACTGTGTGACAAGTTGGGCATGATAAATATATTCAGCCCAACTTGAGGGGAAGTGTTGTTGGATTGAAGTGTTTTATTTCTGTTGTTAGATTGTTGTTAGCATGTTCTTTTCTTTTATTTAAGTTTTTATTTTTAGGGTAGGCCACCGGGGACCTACTTGTAATTTCTTTTTTTATTTGTTACATCATATTATTATAAAAGAGAAGTTGGGCGCCGCTAGCCTAACTTTTTGACTCTCACACATCTTTCTTACCCTTCTCTTCTCTCCTCTCTTCTCTTTCCCTATTCTTGTGAGAAAACAGTGCCTAACCCCTTCCCTCTCCCATCCAAGTCTTACCTGGACTGGTTACCTGGTGCCTCAAGCTACTGGAGTCACTATTGAACCAAAATGATTTTGATACCATTCTCGGAGGTCCCATCACCTCCATTTCCTAATTTGATGGGTGGCGACTCCATTTCCAGACCAAGGGAGTCGTTTTCCCGATGCTCACACTCCCTAAGATTTGGGAACGAATGCTCTCAAAGGAGGGATTTAGCCCTACAAGAAACTTAAATATCTGATCTTCCTCAATCTGTTTATCATGATTTTCTCTACCTTTGGTGTTCTCCCAGTCTAAAACCAGATGGTGATCAAGTTCCACCTAAAGACCCTCTAGAGTTGCAAAGTAGGTGGCCACAAAGAGGTCTCCAAGGTTCATAGCTGCAATGTCCTGGTTCAGCCTATACACCCTGCTTCTATAGTTGCTATAGTAGTCCGAACCAATAAGGAGAAGAAGAAAGAAAAGGAGAAGAAGAAGAAGAGGAGAAGAAGAAGAAGATGAAAGAACTGTCGAACCTGATAGCTAAACCCTATCAGTCGACCTCTTAATAGTGATTAGGCTCTAATTAAATGTACAAGGACTAAACTGCTCCTACTTAAGTATGGGACAGAGAACCTCTAATAAGACTGCCACATAAGCTCATAACTTAACCAAGGTGAGTTGACTAATCTACCCTTATTCGGCTAACTCCAACACACCCAAGCAAAATTCTTTCTCTGTCCATAGGTTTTTTGAAGCTTGTCCCATATTTTATATGATATGCTATAATGCTGTACTGTTCTTGCAATTTTGGGTGTCATAGATTGGAGAAGCCAAGACATCACTGTGGTATTCTCCCTACACGAAGATTTATACTTTGATTGATAAGCCTTTAGCACAGTGACCTGTCCATTAATGTGTCCTTGCTTCCTCTACTGATAATAGCAAGCTTAGCTGAAATAGCCCATTCAGCATAGTTGAATTCATCCAACTTAATGTTGGTAATTTGAAAGGTAGGGCTGTCAAAAACAGGAAGTATATCTCTCAACTTGTTTTCCTTTGGTGAAACCTCACTAGTTATAGACATTCTTTACAGCAGATACCAAATGTCACACCTAAGAACACAAGAGAAAAATACCAAAGAAACAAATATAGCAAGGGAGAATACAGCTTACCTTCTGAAAAACCCAAAACTAGGAATAGCCCAAGGAAAAACAGTTCCTCAAGATTCAAAAAGATGAAAACGTTGCAAACTAATAAATTTCTGAAGTAGAAACCTCTAGAAGATTATACTTCTTGTTGTAACAGAATTTCAGCTAGTTCCCCTTTGCTGTAAAATCCTAGACCTGAACTCAGGTCACACTAGCAATCTGTGGACTGCTCCTTTTCTTGCCCTATCAGGGCATAAACAAAATTTCTTAGGGTTTCCTTGGTTTCTCTTCCAAGGAGAGACCCTAGAGGAAGAACAGGTGCTCTAGGAGCCCACAAACAATCTAGAATCCTGGGTTGGACGTGAAGACAGAGAAGAATGGCAAGAAAAAAAGAGAAGAGGCTCCGATTCTTGAAGAGAAAGCTTCAAGTGCTCTGATACCATATAGTCTGGTGAGGAAGAATGAAGAAGAAAAGAATGGAACAGTCTAAGATGTTTTGAGATTGGGTGGCAGTTTCTCTCCTGCTCTACCCAGAAATTTAAATTAAGGTTTAATAGAGAAGAAAGTTACATAAAAGCCCCTTATTAGGTGGGCTGAGAAAAATAAAAGAAACACATAATGTATAAGTCCCAGGCCCACTACTAACCAATACAACATTTAAGCCCACTAACATATTATGTCTCACAACAAAAACAAACTACTAGAAAGAAATAAAAGAAAAATAATTTGTGACCCTATCTGTAGATTACAAGAGTCACAAACTGTAAAGTTCAAATTGACGTTTATACATGATGAGTTTTAGGAAGAATTCAGAGAGGGCTTCTAGATGTGTCATGCATCATAAGACTTGGAAACAGCCTCTTTGTATGTACAGGGGAGGGGTAAGGCTGCATACATCCATCTCTTCCCAGATCCCACATTGGTGGGAGCCTCATGCACTGGGTTGCCCTTTTATGTCTATCTATCATGATGTTTTTCTGCTTCCCAGGTGAACAAGGTGGACAGAGATCAATGTAACTCAACATTTAAGTCTTTTGTAAGGATTAAAACAGAAAAAGTACAAACTGACTTGATAAATACACAAGTACCTTGTCTTGTAGTCCAACAAGATCCTCTACAGAATCAAAGGTTACTGAAGTCTGAGCTATATGGTATCCATCTGGCCCAAAGCTTTCAGATTTCACATCTGAACTTTGGCTTCTTTCAGGACTTAATCCCCTAGCGTCCTCATAATGCTGCATTACTCGAAGTTGGGAGCTTTTTGAGCTCAATTCATTGTCTGAATGCCACACGTTAACTTCTGACTTATAATCTATTTCCTCGTGGTCATGGCCTATGCTTTTGGCACTTTCCTCATTATCAGATAAGCAATGTGATGTTTCCATGTGATTGTAGTTTGAACTGTGTCTGTTTGAAAAATGTTTATTTATATCATCCACATTCAAGGACATATTCCTACTTTCAGTTAAAGGAGAAGCCGGTAATGAAGATGAATCAACAATGTGCATTAGACCATCTGAAACCCCTTTAAACTGGTGCACAATTTCATCCATAGCATCATCCACATTAACTGTTGCACAAAAATAAAAGCATTAAGGTTCATAATCTAGAATTCCAACCACAGTTGAGCAAATATAGGATTTATCACATAAAACATAAACAAATTAATAAATGCTAGAAATGCATAAGGTAGATTATCAAGAAGTTTATCAGTAAGATAATCAGTTAAAGATTGACAGCTAGACTGTTAACCACGGTTTGGCAGACAAGGATGTGATACATAGTAGATAATGTCAAAATATAGGGTTATTTTTGGTGGGTGGGTGGGGGCTCTAGGGCAACAGCCCATACTTTATTTCCCCTTTCTTTCCTTCCCTTCCCTTTTATTTTCTTTGTTCTCTCTTTTTTTTCTTCTCTTTCTTTCTTTTCTTTTTTCTTTCTGTCATTTTTTTGAGGCATATGCCTCTAGCACACATGCAAAAGGCGTATGAAGCATATGGCTCAAAGGCATCAGCACTTCTGGCATACACCTCAGGGCATTTTGGGGGCGCCTCTCCTGGAGCCACACCTCCCATGCCTTTCAAAGCACTGTTTTGAACTTGGTATGAGAGCAAATGCATCAGAAGTCTTTCCCTAAATCTAGTTTATCAGAAAAGGTTGGCTGACATAATCTGTATGGCCTGATTATGTCAGCAGATGTACAGCCAGTAGCATCTGGGTTTTCTTTCAAGGAAGCTGTTGATGTAAGGGTGTTCCTGTTTCTGCAATCTTGTTATACATCAGGAGATTATGGTGTGATTCTAGGTTTGCATAGGGATTATTCTGTGATTTCAGGTAATCTTGTATGTTGAGGCATATAAGCCATCTATTTGTTTGGATTAGGTTTGAGATTGATGTAGCAAAGGAAAGGGATTATCTTATAATTTCAGAAATTTAGGCCATATAAGGGAAGAAGATCCGAGTAGAGTAATAGAGGAAATCAATGGATCTATTTAGGGATTTCACTTCTGAAATAATGAAGAAAGATGCTGCAAATGGAATAATAAACACAAGAACTTGAAATGCGATACACAAGAAAGTGAATCACAAAAAAATGTGTCATCAGCAAACTGCAAGTGGGAAACCACTGGGCTGCAACTGCAACTACACATAAAGTTTAGTCCTAACCCCTCTTAGCCTACTCCTAGTACCTAATTTAGGAAACTAGTACTGATGCCAATTAGTTTGTTGGATCTTGATTCATTGAAACCAGCACAGAGAAATATGACAAACTGATGATATCTGATGCAAAAACATTTGATTACTTTCATTTTCATCAAAGAAATTATGACATTTTTGTCATAGTCTGTGTTTAATATGACATTTTTTGTCCAAAAAGAAAAAGAAAAAAAAACTAACCAAAGAAATTATGCAACAAATATTTGTTCTACCATGACACCGCTTATAATAATCCATGAAAATAAATTTTAGTTCCAGATAATGGCCTAGAATTTAGCTCATCTCTTGGTCCATACCCATCCACCCAGCACCCCCTGGCACACCTTTTTTCTTCACAAGCATATATGCATGCATGATGAACTGAAATGACAAAGCATAATATGTTTTCCAGCAACCATAGACCACCACTCACATGAAATCCAAAATGAGGTAAAAAAGAAGAACCAAATACCTGCCAACTCTCTCATTACCGAGGTAGATTTCCCAAAAGAATAATTCTTCAAAAGTGAAAAGATAGTCATTATTCCAACTATTATTTGGCTTCACAAGAAACAAATAAGTTTTGATGCATATCCATGTAAACAAATAGAACTCTATGTCAAGAAGATATACACCTTTGAGGAAGCGCTTAAGAAATCCCACACTTCGTGCTGCTCAGCAACATTGGCTATTGACAAAAGATCCTAAGGAATGAAACATGAGACAAAAGAAAAATAATTGGAATAAACACTTAAAAAAGGAAATGTGTCTGGCAACAAAATTTATACCTGCAAATATTTGTCAAGCTTAATGCAGCGTTGATGAACAATAGAATCAGTAGTACTTGATGAAAGGTATCGTTTTGGGGGCAAATGTAGTGTATAATTTGGTATGGCCTTAAGGTGTCGATGCAGACGCTCAAAGTTTCTATATCTGCACTCATTATGGTCCAAAATATCAGAAAAAAGAATGGAAGAAATAGATCAAGTGATGAATATGTAAACTTATGAACTTTGTTTACAGGCTAAATTACAGACTACCAGCCTATACTTTGGGGGTAGTGACACCTAGCTCCCAGAACTTTCATTTGCAACAAAGACCTCTTGAACTTTTAGATTCCAATACTTTCCCTTTAACTTTAAAAAGATTCTCATGTGACTATCATGTGCTTGTTAAATATTTCTAAATGCTTATAGTGAGAATAAGCCAAATGGGCCTTAGTCTCTTCATTTCATTTAAGTTATGTTTTATGTTATGTTTTCAGTTATGGGCCTGTTTTGCTCTTTTTTATTAGTTCTTTAGTTCTGGCCGCCCCATTAAGGGCATTCAGGGAAATTGTACTCAGATTAGAGTTAAAACAATAAAAGGTATCATTGGGGATGAGAGAGAGGATCGAACTCTTCTTTTCTTTCTTCCCTTCTCTTCTTCTCTCATCTCCTTCCACAAACTTTTGCAGAACTTTCTCTTCCTTCTTTTTTCTTTCTATTTTTCTGATTTATTGCAGGTGTATTTTACAACTGGGTATCAGAGCAGGTTCTCACCTTCAACATCTTTCTCCTTTCATGGCTCATACATAATGTGTATAGTGAACTGGTTGGCTGATTAATTAGCAGATTATGTAGCCCAGTTTGAGGGTTTGTAGAGAGGTTTGTGGAGATTTTCATCCTTAGTTGAGCCCAAGGTAGGTTCTTGGAGATTTTTCCCAAAAACCCTAGATAATTGGAGAAACCTTGTTACAAGTCCTAGAGACACTTTGAAGCTAGCACTTGGGGAACAAAGGGAAGCCTTTTGATTTTCATTAAGGGCGATTTGTGTTGAATAGAGTTTTGGAATCTCTGATAGGAGCGTGTAGAGAGAATGGGCCGAATGGGCCCTAGTATCTATTCTTTTAGTTTTGTAGTGTGTTATTTATTTGTTTGTTAATGGGCCTATTATTTCTTTTTTATAAGCTTACTTAAGTTCTTGCTTAGTTTCCCACCCACTTAAGGGCATACATGTAATTAACTTAATGAATGAAGATTAACAAAAGGATTAGAGAGGGGAGAGAGGAGATTAGCGAGCCCTTCTTCTTCTTCCTCTTCTTTTCTCCATCTTCTTCCTTTGTACTGCTGTCATCACCTTTTCTTCTACTTTTCTCTCTAATTTTAATCATATTTATATCAATTTGAGAGGACTGATTCACTTCTTGGTATTAGAGCAGGTTTCTTTGTTGCCTTTTTTTTTCTTTTTTCTCTTTTCCCATACACCCTTCGATTAGGAGAGTGTATGGAGAGATAGGTTCTCTATAGTTCAGAGGATCTTTTGGCTAGTTGGTAGAGGGTTTGGAGAGTTGAAGTCTGGCCAAAAACTGCCAAGAAGTGATGCTGTATTTTTTTTTTGCCCAAAACCCTAGCCGATTAGAGAGTTTCAAAGTTACAAGTAAAGGAGAAGCTTTTGGTGTGGCGCTCAGTGCTTGGGAGGTGTATTTTGACTTCTAAAAGAGTGTAATTCAGTCCTAAAAGAGATTAGGAAGCTCTGGTAGGAGCAACTGCAACTTCTCTCTTTCTCTCTGACAGTCGGGCACAATGAAACCTGAAGAAAACTGAAGAGAGAAGACTTGAGAGTTCAGCAATGAGGGTCTGAGAATGAGAGTTTCGAACCATCCCTCTCTCAGCACCCTAACACTCTTTTATTAAGATATATTTGAATAATTACAAGGAGGCCCTTAGTTGGGCAAGAATTTACAAAGAACTTAATATAGACAGGATGGGCCCAGAATAAGGCCCATTACAGAAAAGAAACATAAATAACAAGAAAGAATAAACAACCTATGGGCCATTCGGCCCATCTT